TACTGTTTTGTAGATATCTGGGCTAATCACAGCATGGCACGCAGCAAACACTCCTTGAGGATCTGACAGCATGGAGCACCAGTGCTGGGCGTACTTCTCTGTGAAGAGAGAGAAAGGTGGGGTAAGTACAGGCACCTTTTCTCATTTACAAAAGGCAAGGTGCAAGTAACTTCTTTTGCCCTTCATAAACAAGAACATTTCCTGTGACTGTTGCTTCCCAGCTCCACAAGCCTACAGAATGTCAGCCAGGATTTGCAGGTCAGACTCAGTAACACTGAAACCCTGCTGGAGTGGTGGCCAGTCTTACCGTTCTCCACACTCAGACAGTAGAGGAGATCATAGCTGTTCTCTTCCATTATGGCTCCCAGTTCAGCTACTGCTGTGGTTGTAAAGTGACATCTTGTTTTTCAGTTACTTTTCCTACTTTATACACAGAATTAATCTCTTTAAAATATAAGGATGTTATGAAATTTAAGACACTATATTTAAGTGTCCCTGTTTGAGGATACTCAGAGAAAACATGAAAACAGAATGGTGCAATTGGCTAAACATCATTTGTTTTAGTTAAGGATTGTCAGTGGCTTTTGCAGTAGCCTGAAGCAAACTCCCAAACTCAACATGTACAGGAATGGACTTCAAGTGAATGAATTTTTCAGACGAGAGTGTTGTTCTTTATCAGATGTGTTCAACTTAATTCTAGAGAAAATGTCAGTTATTAAGTGTAAATCTGATGTAATAAGACAAAGAGAAACAGGATTGTATGCAAAGGGATACAATTTATTAATTACAGAAAGGAGCACATTGTCATTTGCACACTACAGTCAAATTTGGTGAAGTTGACAGAAGTGATACATATTTATGTAGTATTTAATCACAGAGAAAAAAGTCTAGATTTAGACAAACTCATAATATTTTATCTAAGTAGGGGTATTCAAAAGAGGGAAATTGTGTTTTATTTAGTTTCACTTGGTTTTATATATAGTTGTGCATATTAATAAAATATAGACTTCAAAGATGTGTTTAAAATAAATAAATTTGCAGCAGTTACCTAACCCCTAATCCCTGTCTAATTAAATTGATTAATTTTAACTGTGTAACAGATATTTTAAATGTAGGAGAAACAAAAGCACAGGATTCGGGGTTAAAATCAGGGTAGTGCAGTCTTCATTCTCCTCGAGTTCACCGTCGCCTTCTGTACACTTTCCGGCCCTTTGAGGACTTGGAGGGCTCCTGACCCTTGCTGGTAGACTGCTGGGTGTCCCAGTCCTCACACTCGATCTCCTTGCAGCCGCACTTCTCAACGTAGGTGTAGGAGTGGCTGAACGTGGTGCCGTCGGGGCAAACCATCTGCACCTGCTTCTGAGTGGTGTCCATCTCCTGGCAGCAGGAGCAGGTGTGGTCCATGGCGTTGGCCTCCGCAGAGTACCTGGCAAGGGCAGGACAGAGGGCTGAGCCTGGAGAGGTGTGCAGGGCAGCGGGACTCACAGTTACTGTCCCACGCACTGCTGCATGGAAGGGTTCACTGATACTGTGTACATGATACTAAGCCCAGTTATGTACTTTTAACTGCATTACTGTACTTCACAAATGAAGTGGGCTTGTCACTCGTTGTGGTTGATGGTTGTGTGTGTAAAGTAGTTTCATTCAAAACCTCTTTTTTGAATCATTCCTGATCTCAGAAAAATGTAGAATACCGGACGTAGAGCCATAATTTCAAGCATTGCCCTATTATAATGATAAGGGTGTGTGAGAGCTATGTGAAACCTGAGCATGAAACAACTCCAAGCTGCAGGGAGAGGCTGCAGAGTTCTGAAACTCACATGGAGTAGGTTCCACAGGAGCCCCCACACGACGTGATGTCCACAGGTTTGCTGGATTGGCAGCCGTTGTTGGTGATGTAGGTGGTTTTCGTCTTAATGTTGCAGTTCCTTGGTATTGGAACACCTGGACAAGTGACACACAGAGAGCGTTACTGACACTGCTTGAAGAAGTGAGGTAGACTGTTTGTCTATATGGGGTTGATGCCGTTGTGCTCCAAACTCCACATGAAAGATGTACCAATCCAAATTCAAACCCAGAACCCAAGAGCATTATCTACCACACCCTGTCAAGGAGAAGTAAGATCAGCTTCAAGACTGTGGACTCCTTCAGGATTACTCCACTAATGAGTAAAGACAAGGTCACCAGGACCGAGCTCTGATTTATACAAAATAAATGGCTTCTAGTTACCATTGATTTTGTTAATGAAGCACAGTATTTATTCACAGTGGTTTACAGTGTTGATTTCAAGAATGTAACAAATATGTAAATGATACTCACAGACATGGCAACAGCCATCTGGGGCAATTGTCTCTGTGCCCTGCAGTAACAAATTTAGATAAGATTTTTATGAGAAAAGGTCTGTTTAAAACCGAGAACAGGAGGCTTGTTTTTAAACGAAGGCACTTGGAAGAACACTTCCTGAAGGCACTTCCTGATTCTTTCAGGAAAAAGGTGGATGACCATACAAACCAGTTGTTAGGCCATACAGAATGGAAATTGTGACAATATAGCTTTCTTAACCAAGTCTATACACCGTAGGTCCAGGATTGGACAAAACCCAGTCATTGTTAATTGTCTTTTAAATTTGGAATCCCAGTTTATTTTTTTATTCTAATCCAACACAGTAGGAATCACCAAACTCAGAGCTGGCTCAGAGCTGTGAAACCTGCAGCCTTGTACACTCTCACACAGGAGAATGAGGAAGTGACTCGTACACTTACAGGAATGCAGTCCTTGCGGTTGAAGAGAGGGCAGGTGATCTTGGCCTCTACTGGTACAAACTGATCCTCGATCTTCACACACTCATATTTCACACATTTGTCACCAGGGGGCGACCAGGTGTCTCCAGGCTGTTGGAGGGAATGAGGTATAATTGTTGCAGGAGGATGTGATTGAGTTTTCTGTTTATGTAATCTCGAGAACAAAGCTTGATAGACATGGTTTCTAGCCAAGAAACTTTTCCGTGCGTCTTTGACACAGATTTCGCAATGTGGAAATGTGCAATTTACATTACACTTTATATTATCATAAACAACATGTTTTAATCATTTTCTTTAGTATTGTACATGTAAATGATCTCCAATAACCTCTAATCCAGCCATCAAATGTATTTCCACAGCAGTGCCTGCATGTGCTTTCAGTGTTATAGGAGCACTAATGTTAATCTGGTTGACATCCTGAGTGTTGTGCTCTCACCTCAATGACATGCACTGTGTGGTCTGGCAGCATGATGACACAGCTGTCCTGTACACACTGGCCACAGCACTGTCCAGGGACAGCTTGATATGTAAAACCCTGCAGAGAAAATGAATGTACAGAACACAGGCAACCAGTTAACCAGTTTCTATTCTCATCTGCAGCACATTAGTCAGAAAGTTGGAAAAGTATTAAGAAATAATACTAGATAGTATAGATTTTATATTGGTGATTTTGTAATTCAGAGTATTGCTAGAAATAGTCTTCATAAAAAATGTTATTAATAGGGACACCTTAATTAACACATTTTAGTCACACAGAAATACAGCCAATTGTCTTTCCTTATGATTCTGTAGATATGATATCAGTAGGAATTTTGAGGGAAGTTCCATACCAGCTGACAGTTTTTGTCACAGCTCATTGGTTTACAGGCAATGATGTTCAGTCTTGTATTGGGATCCACCTCATAACTGCACTGGCACAACTCACATGTGTCTTTAGGGACACTGGCACCTGGCTGTGATGAGAGCAAAACAGAACCACCCTTAGAATCACACAGAGGACAGGAGACCCCAACCTGTTAACAGCTGATAGGGCAACTGAAGTGAATTTGCACATCCAGTTACTAAAGTCATTGTAGTTCATAGACAAATACACACAAAATATGCAACATAAGAACACGTGTACACATGTAATTGTCATTTAATTTTCAAACTCATTTCAGAAGTAACTGAAATGGTATAACATGACCTTGTCTTGATTTGTAAAGTGTCTGTATTCACATGTCAAAGGATCTGGCCAGCTGCAAGCCCAGAATAAGTTAAAGTTAGTTAAGGATCTTACCTTGTATTCAGTATTATTGAAAACACAGACACTTATTGGTTCTGTAAAGAAATAAATAAATCTTGAATCAGTTTAATTAAAAATAGACGTGAAAATAAACTGGATTCTCTACTGAGCATCTGGTTGTATTAAAAACCTTTGTGAATAATAAATACTATAAATACAGAAAAACAGGTCGTCTTCTTCTCATTCCTGGGAAGACAGCTACTGACAGTGTCAGCACAGCACAGTGGAAAACACCAGTAACACTCACCACATTTATAAACAGCACAGCAGCTTCCTTCTGGGGTTGTTATCACTGGTCTGAATCCTAGTTTACAGTTGTTTTGTGGTTTTGGGCAGAGTTTTACATCACACTCTATTGGGAAGAAGAGCAATAAAGAACAGGGGGCAACAGGAAACATGTTAAAACTGCACCAAAGAAAAGAGTATGCTTAAAGCATGCTAAGCATATGCTTATTAGCAAGGTACAAAATTATAAACTGGAAAAGTACTGTAATAGTTTAATAGCAATAGTCTTTTCAAAGCATTAACTGTGCTGCTCTAAATGCTGCACCTCTATGATGCTGTTGAAAGAGCCAGTCTCCCAGCAGCACTAACCCCTCCAGTCCTGAGTCTGTCCCTGTCCCTGCAGCTACTCACCACATCGGGACTTGTTGCAGCAGTCGACTGTCTCAGTTACCAGCACCTGGCCCTCCTTGTTGCAGGTGACGGGGGGCTGCCTGGGGCATTGCCGGGGTTTGCACTGCACGCTCATTGAATCGACGTCACACACACACTCGTTGCAGTTACTGTCCCACGTCTCGCCAGGCTGAGGGCAGACACACAGAGTGAATGCACCAGCTTATCCTGCCCTCGGGCACCTGCCGTTAGCTCAGCTATGCAGAAGAGTATGTGGAGGGAAAGAGCTCCTGCTTTAAAGATCTCTTATCTTGACCATTGACATACTGGTAATTAATCGAATAAGACACAAATAAAGAAAAAACAATAACATATAAAATGTCATTACCAGTTTTGGTTTCCCATCTGGTCCAGTGCAGTCTAAACAGAAAGTTTTAAAACAGAGTTAATTCCTCAGTGAATACTGCTGTAGCTTTATCCTCTGTGCGGATCTCTTTTATAAACAACAATAAAAGAAAACTGAAAATTAAGCCTGAAAAATAACTAATAAAGTGCTAATTATGTCTAGCTTCCCAAACGTCATGTATTTCACTGTAAACAGTGTACTAGCGCTGGATTGACCTGGAAGGTGGGTACTCTGTAACTTCTGTAACCCAGTGTGGGGGCCAGCAGTCCTTACCGCAGGAGGGGACACAGATGTCTGAGAAGGAGTTGAACAGGATCGTCCCCTGGGGGCAGAAGCAGCCCTCAGTGAAGTCACTTGTCTGCTCTCTGCTGCTCTGCTGGATGAATTTCTCATTGTACCTGTTTAAAAGTGTGAATACAGCATTTGTGTTTAGCCTGTGTTTAGTGTGACTGATAGAAAATGTAACACTGTACATATTATTAGATCTGGAGTCTGATCTTGAGAATTGTCTAGAAAATGATGACTGTGCTTTATTTTTGTGGCATACAACTAGCTTTGAAACTTAAATTGAGTGTATGGGATTGTTTTATTGCATAATAATTCAAAAGTATGATAAAGAGAATCACAAAGGTAAATCTTAGTGTGTGCTCAGCTGAAGGCAACTCATTTCACTTACCTTGCATTGCAGGTTGGCTGCACTGCTGGTCCACATGGCTTGTACACCTTGGTTGCTGAGCAGTTATAGTCTGTATAGGAGCAGAAAAGGGGACCTTGAGTTCCTGCTGTGTTCTACAGTAACTTGAAGAGACAATCATGTGTTTAGTGGAAATTAAAAATGAATTTCTTATGGAGCTGAGTGTGGTATCTGGTACAGCACAGATTCGGTCAGTTGTTGCCCGTACTCAGTTGAGCTCACATGTTTTCTCCTGTACACTGGTAGCCCTTGAGCAGTAAAGAAGGCAGCTACCCCGCTGTTTTCTGACTTGGCCCTACCGCATTCTCCCCCTGTCGCGCTCCTCCAGTCGACGCAGACTCCGACCGATGCGCACAGGGCGGCGTACGCTTGCAAGCTGGAGCAGCCGATCTTGGTGTGGGGCATGTGGCAGACGTCAAACCTGCAGGCCTCGTAGAAGGGCAGCGCAGGAATCACTGTGCGGCACTCTTCAAACACCCTGCGGCAGAGGGGTCGCATCAGCTGCGTCGAGTCACACAACAGCACAGCAAAATACTAGACATGTACTTCTTATTTAGCTAATTATATTAGCTTTCTAACCTTGTTATTTCAAATTCTTGATAATTAAAATGAAGGCAACAATTTTTACAGCATATTACATTTTTTAATAGTGCTCGGCAATTATGAAGAAAATTCCACATTGAGGATGGACCTATTTTTATTCAAGTGATTGCCCTTACTTGCTTTGGATGATATCACAGATAGCTGGTTTGCAAGGCTTAGTAGAAGTTACAGTTGTTCCTGGTGGCAGTGGTGTCACAGGAGGCTGCACTGTAGTTGTAGTGTCACAGTAGGGTTTATTCTTGTCATGAATACGCCAGTGTTTGGCCATGTCAGGGCATGAGGGATCTATCTGTCCATTTGGCAGCCTGCAGTCATTTTTCCTTGTGTTGTCACAGGTACCTTCAAAATAGAGAATCTGCTATATTACGTAGTTTCATCACAATACTCTTTGAGAAAGATAGATTACTAAAAGCAGCTAAATTCACAGCAATGAGTTCAAACATTTAGGCTGGAGTGTTAAAACAGCTATGCAAGGAGGAGTTTGTATGTAGCTTAAGAGAATGCTCCTCGTTTGTTTTCTCCCTCGTCTCTCAATGATCACAGTTGCTCAACAGCTCTGATTAGAATAAGCGTGAAGACAATGAACAGTCTCCTCTTACCACACTGTCCTTCCGTGTTGTGATGGAAGAGGGAGTAGGGCAAGAAGATGCTGAACATGAGGCCTTTGAATGAGACTAGAGCGTTGATCTCTGGGATTTCCAGAACCATGTCAATTCCACTGCTTGTAATTGTAAGATGCTCATTAGTATAAGCCGGGATGATTTTCTTTTGGTTGATGTAGATCTGAGGAATTTTTAGATGCAATTAATTATCTCATAATGACAACAATATGGCAGTATTACTATTACAAATAGAATGTGAATCAATAATGTGTACTTTCAGAAAAAAAAAATCAATAAGAATAGTGACTGTGTCAAGAATTCCCTGACAAATAAGGATTATAATTGTTTTCATATACAGTTCAGATGTATATTTTCATTGACCCGTTTTATAAAATTAGTCATATTTTTTATTTTTTATAATGAGTGTTGACATATACAGATACTGTACAGTATATACAAATTCAATTGTTGTTTAAACTATGAAAGTTTCCTAGTCTGCAACTTGCAAGTTACATGTGTTTCTTCCGACTTCTGGTCAGGCTCAATTAACTGGGCTAGTTATATTAAATTAGTTAATTAACTGAATCCGGTAAAGAAAATGACAGATGATCCTCAGTAGCTTTATGGACCTCACAAGGCATTCAAGGAAAGATCATCTGGTTAACCCAGGAGATCTGCCAAGTTATATACATTCACATTTGTGATGGTCTGCTCTCTTCATGTCTGTATTTATGATGGGAACCAGGGATGTAAGATATGTACAGTAGATGCCATGTAAGTACTGCTCATGTAAGAAATCATCACGTATGAGTAAACATTACCAGGTTTGTTGCTACTCCTTGAGTTATCTCCTGCCTCAAGATCACTTCATAGGACTTGTAATACACAGTCAGAGCCCTGGGGCAAGAAAGGCCATCTCTGGCATTACACAAATAATTGTCAATGATAACGGTGAAGTTGTCATATTTGGGGATGATCTCCTTCACCAACACATAGGTGCAGTTTCCTTGGAAGCCATAGTATTGTCCATCAAAGGTGACATAATGAGGGTCTCCCCACCCATAGCAGACACCTGGGGAGGCACACAAGAGGCCTAGTGAAACAACTGTTCCCAGTGATTCAAATTCACCAGCACTTCATGGATGATATGGCTCTTCTTCGTACACTTATCAGTATGCATGTTTCATTGATAGTTATTTCAGTGTGACAACATAATCAGTTCCAGATTGATGTCCCATTATTGACATGGAATACAGCTAACTTATTACTTATAAATGATTATTATATTTAATCTTCTTTTATTTAATGTTTATCATTTATTATATTATAGTAATCTATATAACAATTACTTTCTAAAATGTAGAACTTGATACTTATTGTTCATTTCTTACTATATTATACTGCATTTAATAATTATGTATGAGACTTAATTGGTAATCAGAACCAATGGTAGTTACATTTGCTCATTTTGAGAAATATACAATTGCTAAGTTGTGTAAAAGAACATTTATAAAAGCATTGCTTTTAATAGGTTCAATGATAAACAGTGATACAAAACAATATTTTTAGTCCTCAACAGTGTTTAGACTTTTCCTAACTACTACAAGAAACTCTTAAACTCTCCTCAACATCTAACACACTGATTGTGCTAGAGACTACTTTTTGACATTTCTCTGTAGAGTAAGTTATTTTTTTTCTCTTTGGACTTACATTCACATTCATAGTGGAAGCAGCATCCAGATTCATCAAAGACCTTGACTGGGGGGCGGCCATTCTCACATTCAAGTGGTGTAACAGCCTCACAGTACACTGACTCCAGGGTTATATTGGAACTTCCTTGGCATATTGCTGTGGTACATGCATCAATTTGCCATGATTCGCCATGCTGTAATAATAATAATAATAATAATAATAATAATAATAAACAATAAAAGCCTGAATTAGATGATCTTGGATTAAGTGTTGGATTTATTGTCCAGAATGTCACTGGGAGCCAGTGCAGCTGAAGAGTGATGAGAGACACATGTTGATGCGGAGGACTGATAAGTAGAGCTAGAGCCACAGAAATCTGGGCATACCGCAGCTTGTTTAGTAACTTAGAATATACCACAGGTACAATAGTTACAATAGTCTAGACACGATAAGGTCAAGCAAAACATTCTGTCTGTGTCATACTGTGGTGAGCCAGGGCTTGCAGGCATCAGCTACCATGGCAGCAAATCACTCTGAACAGCCCATTGCCAGCCAAACTCAAGCCAGGTGCTGCTTCTCATCACCAGTCCTTGGTTAATAACTCAATCTGGTTTATTAAAACCTTTTCAGGGTTTCTTTTGGCACTCTGACACTGAGTCTGTTTCCCAGCTCTCAGCAGCTCAGGTTGCCTGTTCAGCCTGTTCAGTATTCCTGACTTTTTGCCTCAATTTTCAACTTTGTCTTCAGATCTTCCCTTCAGCTTGAGCTTGTCTTCTGGTTATCTGGTACCAAACTCTGTATGCAGGTTTCCTATGAGCTTGTTTATCCCCTAATCAGCACGCTGCTCTTGCAGGACCAGCCCTGTCTGCTAGCTGCTCAGCTGCCACCCCTGCGCTTACCTCTGCCCCTGCAACATGAACTCCCTCTATTCTAGCTGCTCCTGCCCTGCCTGCTTCATCTTCCACTTGTTCAGCTCTTGCACGTGGATTCCTCAGCCTGATTATTAACGCAGCCTAGGCCACGTCTTTACAGTCAGAAAGTTAAAGAGTCTTAACTGACTGTTACACAGGTGTAGAAAAATTTCTTTGTGATAAGAGCTTCAAATGACAATACGGGCTTAGAATAAAGTAAAGGATTCCAGCTTTGATCAGGATTTGATTTCAGCACCATCAAACACACAAACATATTTACAAATTATGGTCATGAAATTATTATTAATTAGCTCTTAGCATTTTAAAAAGCAGTGGGTGGCTTCTAAATAAAATCCATTCCGCCCTCATTGGGGTTGATCAGCCCAACACTTGAAGAAAAGTCCAAATCAAAGCATACATAAAGGAAAGGTACACAGTAGTCTCTTTACTGCCTAGGCTGGAAATAAGACTCTTCTACTTGTACAAACTGGTGTAAAAGTAGTGCTATTGGGGCAGAGTGGTGGCTCTACGCCTGTGGCTGGAAGGTTGCCGGTTCAAATCCTGCAGCTGGCAGAGGAATCCTACTCTGTTGGGCCCCTGAGCAAGGCCCTTCACCCCAACTGCTCCAGGGGTGCTGTACAATGGCTGACCCTGCGCTCTGACCCCAGGATCTCTTCCTGTCTGTGTGTCTCATGGAGAGCAAGCTGGGGTATGTGACAAGATAATTCCTAATGCAAGAAATTGTAAAGGGTTAATAAAGTGATGTTGTTGTTATTATTATTATTAAAAGAGGTGGTATTAAACAATATATAAATATGTATATATTAATAAACAATATGTTATAAATACAATATTTATAAAATTGATCTTTCGTCCTTTTAACTATGTAACAGCCAGGAAGTGAAATATACCTTTCTAGGAGGTGTAAGCTGGTCACAGTTTAATGGATGAGTTGTGGTTGGGAGGCTGGTGGTTGGAGCTGTGGCTGATGTCTCAGCAGTGGAGGACTCTGTCTTTGTGGGAGTTGATTTGGCTGTAGTTGTCTTCCCTGGTGTTGTTGGGCCAACTGCAGTGGAGGTCTGGGCGCTTGTGGTTGGAGGAGAAGCAGTGGTGTGACAGTGCTTGGAGTGTTTCTCTATTTCACACGTCTCGTTGCAGAAAGCAGTGAAGCACCAGTCATCGCCATCAGTAGTGTTATACAGCAGTGAACCTGAACGTTAAAACACAAGGTGAAATAATGGGTTAAGCACTAGTAGGTAAACTATTTTTGCATTTTGTATTGTTATTGACCTTAATATGTTCAGATTAGCATTTTTGGTTTGTTCAGACTCATTTCTGGTCTTAAATCTGTCCCACACTAATAGATTTAAAGTATTTTAGAATGTCTGAGAGGACTCCTTCTGGATAAAGAATGAGACATGGAGAGATATTTAGATAATTTAAGCAGAGATTCATAATTATATGTCTGTTATAATTTATGTCTGTTTGGTTGGTGGTAACCTATTCATCAAAGTGTCTATCAAGCTGTTTTGTGAAGGTTCCCGATAAATCTGCTTCAACATGGCTGGGAGGTGTCTTTCACAATGTCATGATTATTTGTGTATAGAAAGGTGTTCTGATTTGACTCCTTAATTTCCTCACATGTAATGACACATAAAAAGCATATAGTTCTAAATATATATACAGTATCTTACATACCACGTGGAAACAGCTTCCCGTTGTAATGGCAGCCACATTCAGTTGTTTCAGAGTGGTTTATAGTTGTTGAGGTTTCATGGGTGGATGTAGAGGGAGCTGTTGAGGTTTCTGTTGTAGGTGTGGTGGTTTCTGTGGTCACAGTTGTTGCTGAAGTAGTGGTTGGTTTAGCAGTGGTGGTAGTCTCGGTTGGTTGTGTTGATTTTGTAGTTGTTGGTTTTTCTGTTGTAGTTGTCTCCGTAGACACAGTTGTTGTTGAAGTAGTGGTGCTCTCTGTTGATGAGGATGTTGTTGTCTCAGGGGATGAAGTTGTGGTTACTCTTGTAGAAGAGGGCACAGAGGTGGTCTCTGTT